CGGATCGTGTCTGTTACTTGGGGGGGGGGGAGGCGGGAGAGGGAGGGACTGTTTCTGAAAGGCGGGGATGTGGCTAGAAGAATCATTAACGCTTCAGCAAAAGAAATGCTCTTGTTCTGGAGTCAAAAAATCCCGATAAAATGGCAATGTTTCTGCTTCCCTCAGTAGTCTCCGGCCCTGAGTTCATAGGCTACCAAGAATCTGATAGTGGCACCATTATAGATCTTTGTCCTCACCTGTCTGTAAATTAGGTAGTCCTAATTGCTTTTGATGCAGGAGTTTCTCCCCACCTCTCTACCTATGTTAGGATGCTCAGCAATCTTAGTCCCAAAAGAACCTCACGCTGACAGCCAAGTCCAATCTTACAATGTTGCTGAATCCTTCAGCTTTTTTTTTTTTCATCGGACCTGTCTCAGGCTATCAGACTTTTATCTCTGGGAGAGCCTTCCCTAGCTCCTTTCACAAATTTCTTCCCTGAACTGCTTTGAAAAGTTCCACAGCTATTTTCTTCTCACCAAGGGCTGAGAATAACGGAGCTGTAATATATTCTACTCTTGCAACTTAGATTTTACATGAACCAAGAGGGAAAACTGGAGTCAGGTGAGTTTGATAGCATGGCCGGCTATTTCACAGGAATCATGTGGATGTTTTGTCCTAAACAACATTTCTGTTATAATTGGTCTAAGACAGGTATAAAAGCTGGTACTTCTCTCCTATGCTAATCTTCTTGTCTTTTTTCTTTAGAACAAGCACTGGTTAATTCGACAAGCAAAGACTCCAATGACTAACTCTTCAATACAGTTTCTTGATGATGCTTATAGAAAACGGTAAGATTTTTTTGTTGCTTAAGATTTCTACTCAGAACTTCATTGTTTTTAAAAAAAGAAAAGGTGTTTTTTTTTAAAGGGTTGCAAGAAGTCTGACAATAGATGTCAAATTACCTGTAATAGTTCTCTGGCATCTGTCTCAGCAGACCTGACTTTTGGTTTACTTTTTGCAAAGAAATTTATCATTGACTTCAGAAATATTTTGCTCCCAAATGCTGCCATCGTTTATCATAAAAAGACCAGTCATGCTCGGTGTTTCTACTGCTTCTCTTTCAGTGCACAACAGGTTTTCATAAAAAATGACCTTACCTTCTACTTCACTTGAATTCCAGATTCTTACATGATGTACATCAAATGTGATCGATTTATCTGCCAGCTAATCCGATTTATTAACCTTGGCTCTCAGCCAGTGGTCTTTTTACATGGGAATACCTGCCTGGCCAAGGCGGGTACTTGGCTCCTTTTTATGAAAGTGGATGTGGGGAGTAACGTGAAAAATACAGCTCATTCCCTCTTTTTAATAGAAAGGAAAGGTGTTTGTTTACACTGTAGATATATCTTCTTTAAAGGCTGTGAAAGAACCATTAGCTTAAAGTTAAGTGTCAAACTCCATTTTGAGCAGTTACCAGGTATTTGCTTGTCACTTTGGAGATGGAAAACCAAGTTTTTTTTCAGGCTCTTGCTTTATAAAACATGAAGGTAAAATTATGCACCAAATACGCCTGGAGACAACAGGATCCTAGATTTGAATAACTCTCGCTAATTCAGCATGATACTAGTCTGTGGAGGCTTGTTACTGACTTAGCAGCAGCAGCCACTTTTTTCAATGGCAGACTCCGTGGCAAAGGAAGGAATAACTCGTAGCTGTTGAAGGCTTCAGACACACAAGAATAATGGACCCTGATATTGCATGAGTAATACAAAATAGCTGATGTAGCTTTCAAGCAGAAAGGATCCCAGATAGACAATAAAATTCATGGTAGTCTTGTATTTTAATATTAAAAACTAGACATAAAGAACTAATAACAAGTGACCTTGCAGGAGATAACTCTGCCACTGTGTTGCTTCAAAGTTGGTCTTGACTGTCTCCAGATAAGAAGTAATCGTCATTTTGATGTCTTTCTCAGACACCACAGAATAAAATCAACAAGAACTGAAGACAAACAGTCTATTTCTATCTTAAAGTGCAAGCTCAAATAGTACAGTGTAGTAATCTATGAAGTTTATTTTCAGAATTTACAAGCAAAATAGTCTACTTACCGTGCATACACTGACTTGAAGCAGCATACGAATGCCCTACTTGCAGTCAGAATTATTCTGAATTTTTCATACTTTAATATGAATTATTTTCTTTCTGTATAGGTGGCAAACTCTGCTGTCAGTAGATGACCTGATAGAGAAACTAGTGAAGAAACTGGAGCTGAATGGAGAATTAGACAACACGTACATCTTTTACACATCAGACAACGGCTTCCACACGGGTAAAATTTTCACTCCTTACTGACCATTTGTAGAAGATCCAGGGATTGCATAACACTTCACTCACCCTCATGACCACCCCAGAAAATGGGAACTGCAGCTGTGGAAGACTGTAGACGTGAGAAGTACTGATTTGAGTTGCAAAACCACCTGGAGTTGCAGTGTGGGGTGTTTGGGTATTTTATTGTTTGGTTGGTTTTTGTTTGGTTACGGATTTTAGCATTCATCTCTACCACTGTATCCTGGTATACGTAAAATTAGGACAGAAATGGAGGGAGGGTCTCTGTGTTCTGTAGGAAGAGTTGCCGTGAAAGAGTTAACCAGTAAAAATCTGCCAAAGACCTGTCTGTATCATGTTGTACAACTAAAAATGCAGTATCCAAGCGGTTAAACTTTGTAAGATACAGCTCATACTTTGCAGTTGTTTGTTCCTATCCTCCACTTCCTTAATGTAGTTCAGGTTAAGAACCTCTTCTGACTTCTTAAAAAATTGGTTGCTGGAAATTATGTAACATGACGCTTAAAGTGTAAACCAAGAAGCCATTTGACTTTTTTCATTTTCTATTGTATAGGCCAGTTTTCTTTGCCAATAGACAAACGGCAGCTGTATGAGTTTGATATCAAAGTTCCATTGCTAGTTCGAGGACCAGGGATAAAACCAAATCAGACAAACAAGGTAAGAAAGAAGTGAAATCAGAGGACGGATTTACTTTTAATATTGTTTCGCAGTTATCAGCTTTAGCTATTCATCCTCCTGCATATATATGTATCAATGAAATTAAATATATGGGAGTGGTAGAAAGTGCAAAGACCTAATTCTAAAAAGCTGTGCACGCCCTTGCTTGAATCAGTAAATTTAAGTAATTGCAGACTACAGAAATAAACGAGGTGTGAAGCTCGCTTTCCAAAGACCCTGCCATTGCTTGTGAATGTTACAGGGTCCATTAGCCTATAAAAATAAAATTAAGTAGTGCTTAAGTGTACCTAAAATTACATGTACTTAAAATACAGAAGTCTCATTACATCTGTTAGGTTCTGGTCTTCTGAAGTAAGTTTTCCTCACCCTGCAGATGCTTGTTGCAAATATTGATTTGGGTCCCACTATCCTGGATATTGCGGGGTATGACCTGAATAAGACCCAGATGGACGGGATGTCACTATTGCCGCTGTTGGTAAGTAGATGGACAGGGACAGTAACCAGTAATTCTTGCAGGGGTTATTCTTCCAGGTGAATACTACTTCCTCGGATAGACTAGGTTGACTCATAACCCGGATTCTTCCCTTGATGGCATTTTCACGTGGGATATTCGTAGCTTAGTGAAAAAAGTAGGCATGCTGTTTAAAGGCAGATGTATTTTGATTAGCCCTACAACTTTGTGGTCATTTTGTAATAGAAAGTTGTGTCATCCTTTGGCTAATCTTGCCACCTGTAGTAATTCCTTTTTTGAAGGCTGTATGTTGTTTCCACTTTGCATCCTTCCTTCCCTTTTCCTTAGGATTTCTCAGTATAGACACTGGAGAAAAACAGAGTGCTCTTACTTAAATCTTTGGTTTGCCTCAGTTTTCAGGAGAACCAGTGTTTCCTCCTAAACTCTGGAAAAATACGTGTGGTTTTATAAAGTAAACCTGACCTTTCCAATAAGTGAGCAGAAGCCTATTTAAATAAAGCTGCTTGCAGTTGATCCTTTTAGTTTTAATTAAATTTAGTCTATAAATTGAAGGCAGCTTACTTGGAAACGTAGGAGATGATCCAGATTTAAAACAGTGCTTTGCTTTTAAAACCTTGTATCCAAACCTTAAGCTGTTCTTTAGACAGAAGCAGGTAAAAGGCATCTAGTTTAAACTCTGATGGAATCAAAACTCTGAAACTCCTTGCTTTGCTGTATATGCCGGTGATGGTGCTGTATATTAACTTTAAACCTCCTTCTCCCTCTGTCTTTTAAAATGCAGCTACAAATAGAGCAGCTTAAAACTTAGTTGCTTCTTAAAGCTGTTTATCTTTCTAACCTCTCAGAAAGAATCCTCTCTTAGAACACTTATCATTCTAACCTAAGGCTGAATATTATTTTAAGACTGACTTAAACTAGGGACCACGACTCAAAGTGCCTTGTGAGCGGTGTTAGTGTTACACCAGGCATGGAGAATTTCTTCTGTTTCACAGTGCAGTAAATACTGAGTCATGTTAACTTCTTGTCCTAGAGAGGAGACAAAAACGTGACGTGGCGATCGGACTTCTTGGTGGAGTACCAAGGAGAAGGATACAACGGCAGTGATCCTACCTGTCCTGGCCTAGGACCTGGTGTCACAGTAAGCAGGACCAGATTTGTTAATATTAGAAAATAGCTGCTGAATCAAACCTGTTCGCTGTGTGGACTAACTGGTTCTATAAGTAAGCACACAGTGTCTTGGTAAGTAGGAGCTCGCTCTGTAGGTCCTGTGTGGCGTTTAAGAGTCGGGGGGCGATGTGCAGCCATGCAGAGCTGATGTGTCCATGTGACCATACAGAACACTGTCACCCTTTCAGTGGGAATCTATAGGGCATCAGGGTTGGAGAAATATGCAGGAAGGTATGGGCTTGGCACAGTGGGTAGCAGTGACATCGTGTTCTTTCTAAACCTCCAGTGACCTCATTGCACAATTCTTATATGTAACTATTATTTAAGTCACTAGCTACTTCCTGAATCAAAGATGAGTTGCTTTAAGTAGAGCATCCCATTGGTGCTGTCTTTAGTGGTATGTGTTGTGCTGTTCTCTTCAGTGTCTGTACATTTGCTTCCCAGACAAAATGCCCTGGATCATGGTGAGTTCATTAACAACGCTTTCTCAAATTTAGAAGAGCTGAGTTTTTGCTTAAAATCCCCAGTGGAGACTAGCATGTGTTAGACTATGGTCCTGGTGTTCATCAGTTAACTGCAGTCGGCTTGAGCCTGGTATAGACTCTAGGAAAAGGATTGTTAGTTCTTTTTTTTCTTCTTTTCTTTTTTTTTTTTTTCTTCTCCTGCTCTGAAGTTTTTGTTCACTGCTCACTTCACAGCACTGCTTCCCAGACTGCGTCTGTGAAGATTCCTATAACAACACATATGCTTGTGTAAGGACGCTGTCCACTTCCTGGGATCTGCAGTACTGTGAATTTGATGACCGGGAGGTAAGTCTCTGTCTGAGCAGCAGATGTTAACTGTTCGCAACTGTGCTAGCAACTGTCTGCACTCTATCTGTCCTCGAGGTTTCCATAAAGTACTCTGAAAAGCAGACTAGCATTGCTTGCAGGACAAACAGTGAAGTATTTATCTGCTGGTGAGAATGTTTGACCAAAACTCTGGTGGGTTCTGGGAAGAAAAAAAAGGGGGTGGGAGGGGAGCGAGGAAGGGACAATAGCCTCAACTATGATTATTGCCTTCTGGTATCCCCTAACAGCCTCGTGGGGAGCTGTGCTGGGGCTGGGTTCAGTTCTCTGTCCTACCCTAATGCCATGTGACAGAGTCTTCTGTACAACAAATACCTTCTGTTACGCTGTACCTCTGCTGTTCTTATGTTCAGCTGCAACTCTTCTCCTTGGGAAGAACTGAAATTCCAGGCTGATCATTTCTCTTCTGTAGCTCGCTTGTTTGCCTGGCAAAACAAGTATTTAAGTTACAACTGTGGGAAAGGTCTCTAACCTTATCTTAAGTTGTTTGTTTATAAGGGACATAATGTCCCCGCTTCAGAAGCTGTTCAAATCTCGCAAGCGGAGCACCCGCTGTATGGGCAAAACTCGGTGTCTTACAGGGCTGATCTTTCCTTGTGCCCATTTGCACACAGTGCTCCACAGAGCCCTACTGGGTGTGAGGGAACCGGGTCACAAATCTAATAAACTGCATTGTTGGCAGGTGTGCAATAAATGCATAAACAGCAGGTATCCCCAGTTCTCATGCCACCACACAAAACACTTTCTGGTAGTCTACAATGAGCAACTCAAAGCAGGGGAGTAAATCCCACAAGGTGGTTTTTGCAGTCAGATAGCAAGAAAGACTGTATAGGAGGCCAAGATGCTGATTAGCAGACCCTGCCCTGCATTTTTCCACTTTCTGATGATCTATGATGAAGTTAAACAAGTGTTGCAGCTTTCTTCATGAAAGCAGACTGCAGACTTGATCTGATAATACATTTCATGTCACACATTTTTTTTTTCCCCAGTAAGAAGGTATGGCTGTGGTATTTCTGGGTCACTCAGCTTACCTGGGTCAGCTAAATTAAGACTAACAGTATTGAGGAAGATGCAGCTATGTGGCTTTTAAAACCTTGCAGTGAACCTTCCAAGCGAGCTTGCAACCAAAGTCTGTCTGGATGCATCTTTATCTGAGTTAGACACAACCCAGCCAGATTTAATCAACATCGGCTGCTGTCATGCCTCCTCCTCTATCTAGCACAGACAAAACCGCAGCAGAATTCTTGATATGTTGGACTAGTATTTGTCCCACAGGATGGTTTAGAGATTTAATGTACCAAAAAACAACTCTGCCCTAAAATCCTCCAGACAAACCGTCTCAAAGCACACAAAAAACCTTCTCAAGGTGTGTGTGCACAAAAAAAAAAAGCTTTCTTGTATTCGGGTTAAAGCATACTTGTATTCAGCATATTCCGTATGTGTAGTCAAGACACCTGTCAGAGTTTGAGAGCTGGAAGTGCCTGATGAGCATATAATGGTGCTGTGATGGTCAGGAAATGGGGTATTTTGAGATGCATTAAGGAAAAGACAGCCAGCTTCGCCTGTGGCCTCTTGCTGTGGTCTTACAGTCATTAGATGGGTTCCATTTATGTGTTAGAAAAAAATCTGCAGTGTAGCAGATGAGTACTTTAGGTGGAATTAAAAACTTTTCCAACAAGGCTGTACTAACACAACGCTTTAGCTTTACCTACACACTGTCCTGTCTCTCACTGCGTAACCACATGGCTAAATATGGCTTATGGCTGGGGATGTTGCAGTGTAGCTGAGAATAACATTTGAGACTATATGCTGTCATAGTGTTCTTCCCAAATAATATGATTAAATGTTAATTAGCATTTGGGACTTAATACAGTGCGGGAACTCTCATCTACAGGTGTTTGTGGAAGTGTATAACTTGACTGCAGATCCACACCAGATCAATAACATTGCTAAAACAATTGATCAAGAAATTCTAGAAAAGATGAACTATCGATTAATGATGCTGCAGTCCTGTTCTGGAGCAACTTGCCGTACACCAGGTGTCTTCGATCCCGGGTAAACACTGGTTCAGTTAATTGTTATAATACTTTTAAATGTAACTATAGGTTTTTTAAAATTAAGCTTTGATAGAGGGTATTTATGATGGAATATAATATTACTGGCATACATACTGTTGTTTAATAGAGATGCTTTCTTGGTGCTTCTATTTTTTTTCATGTTTAATCTCTATTTTAATTTAGCCTACCAAATATAACTTGATGGTATTAATACGACTACTTTAATCTTGTCAGCCACTGTTGACTTAGAATAGCTGAGGCTTACAGCCGTGCTGAGTAGGCAGAGCCAAGTGACCTCAGGTTTGCCTGCAAACAAGGAAAAGCTCTGCAGGTTTCCGTAGGCAGGGATTTCCCAAATACTTGCTATGATTGTTCCTGGAGATGCTGTTAGCGAAGAATGTTTCCTGCAGGCCCTAAGCTGTCTTAGTCAGCTGTTGTAAGTAAATAGCACTTTTTACCTCAAAATTCAGTCAGTAATCGCTTGGGCCGAAGCTTTTTTAAGCACTATTTAAAATGTCCTTACAGCTGTGCTACACAAGTTTGTAATTTGAGGCAGCAAAGCTCTCTGTTAGAATGCATCTCCTGAATGCTTAATGTTATACATGCCAATATGCTGCTGGTATGTTGTAGCTAGTATTTATTTCTTTGGAGACTATCAGCTCCTTAGTTGCATGTCGTTGTAAGTCATCTGTTGTAAAACGTAGAGAGATTGTCCCTACCGCATACTGTCAAGAAAGCAACTACACGTGGAGCCTTGTACCAGAGCTATTCTAGAAGCGTTGGTCGCTGCGGGCTCACTGTGGCTCACGCAGACTCCGCTCCTTTCTACAGGTACAGGTTTGACCCACGGCTCATGTTCAGCAATCACGGTGTTCGGGCTCGGAGGTTTTCTGCACAGTCCTTGTAAGGCATTGAAGGGCCTCTCGCAATCGGCTCCCGCTGAGCAGTTTCTCCGGTGGCTGCAGCAGGTCTGTCTCCGTAACTCCCGTTGATTGCAGCTGGAAGACTTTTAATGGGCTACTCAAACCCTGCGTGGAAGAAAAAACCCTCGTCTTTGGCTGGTTGCCTTGTGCAATATGTATATTTTACAGCTGAACTCTAACTCTAAATCGTTAGACACAGCTAATCTGTCTTGCTCAGATAGTTGATTACCACCTTTGTCTTTCAAGTACCTTTTCATATCACAGGCACAGAGGTGAACCTATGCCTATGAATCTGAACAGCTTCTTTTGTTCTAAAAAATCAATAAACGCATATTCGAGTCGGGTTAGATAGGCAGGTGCTATTGCACAGTAATGCTCACCCATGTTCAGTGTCATAGACTTCCCTAAAAGCTGTGTTTAATTATAGGTTTCCTGTATGGAGCTCAAAGCTGTTAATGACAATAGCAGACTAGCCCAAAATAGCGTAGGAAGGCATTAGTCAAAACTGTAGGATCTGACTAGCGAGTGTCTTGTGCAGAATCAAAATCCATATGCTAAATATTCTCTTTCAACGAGACCACTTCAAATGAGACCAATGAATTTTGTAGGATGGCTTTGGTAGCTTGCAGACAAGAATGTAATTTCAACCTCCTTCTAGTTTGAAACGCTGGAGTGGGTTACTATGTACTACTGACAAAACTCTTAGGGTTTGATATAGGCTTTCTAGTGAGTTAAGAGAATGTTGAGACTAACAAGTGCTCAAATAAGTGTGCCTGTGTTTTGAACTAACTCTTAAGTCTGTTTTAATACATGAACAGAAGTAATACTAAAAAAAAAAAAACCAAACCCACAAAACCACAAAAAAAAACCCCAGGGCACCACAGTAGAGTTGATCTGAGTCTAACCTCCAAATGTCTTGAATTGTCTAACATCTTGTGTTGATTAGATTCTTGAAGGTAAATTATTTTGAGAGCAAACTAGCCAAAAACCAATAAATCGTTGCTCACTAGAAATTAGGCTAAGAGGGCTATTTTAGGCAGTTTAAGTGCTTCATAGAGTGTTGCTTTTTGGTTGAGACATAACTACTCAGAACCTGCAGTGAGTGGCCTTCACACCAAAGGACTGACGTCAGCTGTCTGACTGCGGTACATTATCACTTGGTTTTCCTTTGGAAGGGTGATGTTGTCTTTTCAACCTTCTGATTAGGCTTATCTGAAATGCAGCCATCGCTTGCACCCAAACTTGAGTCTCTTTCTAAATCTTGAAAAACACCCGAGCCTGTGTCAGCATATAACTTCTGTATAGATTCATGGGCAAAACACTGTCTAGAAACACTGAATTGTGTCTCTTTTGCAAGACAAGTTCATGTTGCTTGTGAGCAAATCAACTGTGTTATCAAGCAAGATAATCTTTCCCTTGTCAAACAAACTGTGGCACAACTATTTAGTTTTTAGTTATTTCAGATCTTTTACCCGAAGGAGAGCAGGATGATTTCAACTTCTGTCACATAAAACCTTCTACTAAGTAATCATTAAGCAGGCAACAAAGTATTCCTCTTTCAAAGCTGTGAAGGTGCATACCCTGGTGCACAGATCCATGAACTGGATACAAGCAATGCTACAATAATAAGTTGAACTTTCTTTCCTTTTAATTCTGAAGCACAGAAGTTGTCCTTCACGTAGCTGCAAACTTCTGTGATGGTCTGCAGGTTAGATTTTGTAGAGCTTTTGTCTCAAATCTAACTCATTGTTTCAAATCTCTAGAGTGACCAAATATTTGGAGACAAAAAATTGCTTGAAAGGTAACTTTTCAGCTGGAGCGTCTGTAAAATGCAGAAGTTTTTGGATACTCAGACTACTTGCATGCTTTCAAACACTCAGGACTTTTTTTTTTCCTCCACTGCAACTGTAGCTTTATCCTGTTCTTTGTTTCTCAAGCCTTAGTATTGCCCATCACTACCCTTCAGACTCCATTTCGTCTTTAAAAACAAAACCAAAGTTGTTTTCATGCTCTCAAGCATTTTCTTGCACACTGAGCTAAACCTAGAGTTTGTTTATGTAGTGTTTTGCTCAGATAATTCTAGCAAGTTAGACTTGTTCTTTGTTTAAACTTTATTTTGGTAGCTGTGTGGAGGCTAGAGTGAAATACATTGCTGCGCATTAAACCCTCAACAGTTTCATCAAATCTGGGTTGTATGTCAAGTTTCTACTTGAGTTAAGTTTCAGTGCAAGTATGTCTGTTATGATGCTTCTTAACAGAAACAAAAAACTTTGTTATAGGTACAGATGTGTAACTTTAACACTATCTTTTCTTAAAGTGATCTTAAGCCATAGCAAGGAAATTATCTTTTGAATGACTGACTTTTTGCCTAATAACTAACATGAAAGTTGGCAGAACTGATAAAGATTATTCAGTATGTGTGACCAAGAGTTTTACCCAACTGTGAACACTCTTGCTATCTGCACACACCTACAACGCATTTTGTAACTAGGCTCAATAACTTAACATACTCCCTCTCAGAGAACCACACTGTACCTGAAATCTGTCATAGGTAGTAAATGTTGCATTAAATTGAAATTCACAATGAAATTAGTCAGTCCTTACTTAACCAAAAAGAGAGGAGCGGTTCAGGAAAATACCTGCTTCACTCCCACTTTTTGATAAAGACTGAAGAACTGTTCAGCAAAAGCACGAGGCTGTAGGAAGAACTGGACCCAAGAGCTGCCTGCCTTTCGTTGCGTTTAGAGGAGCTGCTTGTCACTTGCCTGGTGTCTGTTTCCCTGAAGCAGTTAATTCTGAGTATCTTTACAACCTTGAATGAACAGTATTAATTCTTATCCTTGCTGATTAAAAGAATACTATGAAGGAACTTTGACTCTCATCCAGATCTAATTCCCAACTAAGTGATTTTAAAAACTAAATGGTCTTCCTGGATATTCCATTTCATGTGCTATTTGACCCTGGCTGTATCTGTACCTTGTTACTAAAGGCTAAATGAAAGGGCCTTACTGGTATAGAGTGGGGTTTAGGTAAAATGTGATTTTTTTTTTTTTAAATCATTATTATCAAAAGCAGAACTGTGAATTTTACCTATCTGATCTGGTAAAGTAGATACTATACAGGGAGACATACAGTTAATAACTTTATTACATTATCCTAAACCAAAAACCATGCAGTACCATCACTTCAGTATAAGTAAATACAGCTAGTACATGCTTACCCAGCATCAGCCCAGTAGTAAACTGGGCTTTTTCATTTTGAGGAGTAAAGGTGTAACAGAGACACATAAATGCAAACACACACCCAAAGCAGGTATAATACCTTTTCAATCAAGTTAAATTTAAGACTGATTCTACAAGCGGAATACAATATTTCTTCAGAATGAAACAGCTGTCATTTATTGTGATTCAATTAAAATGAAATTTGTTTGTATTACTCTCTCTCTCTGTATGTGAGCATACTTTGCTGTAGCATGTTGTGAGCATACTTAACTTCTGCTGTTTTGAACGTTTGTTTAGAAAGTGCCCTTCCAGAGGACCCTGTTCACTGCTGCACTTTTGGGAAAGAAAAAATAAACTGCCTGTCAAACTTCCTATCTTTCTGTTGTTGAACTTCAGTTAAACCTTTCCAAAGGATCAAGCTGTGTCACATTTCCAAAGATGGCATTCCTAATTTATAAGCCTGCTCTCTGCTTGCTACCCTGCTGCCTAACAGTGGCCACTGGTGAACTTTTCTGTGGTCGCAGGGAACCTTACCTATGGCATCAGTACACGAGATGACACGTGACTGCTTTGTACCAGGGAGAAACACTGAGGCGAGAGAACAAATTCAAAGGCAAGCTGTACTTGCTCATATTTCCTTGGAAACTGATGTAGTTGAATAGACGGAAAACTTTAACAAAAAAGACAATGGAGAAACTGCTGTTCATAATTAAAAGCAGTATATGTTCTGCCTTTGGGAAAGAGGAAGAATAAAGGCTTTTTCCAAAATGGGAACTGTGAGCAACAGTGAGATATGTGCTACTCACCTCAATCCCTGTTACAGAGTTGAATTCCTTGGATGATTCTGTGCAACTGTTTAAAAATATATACATAACTATTTTCTGAACTATAGAGCAAGGTGATCTGGTACCTTTAACCTATCTAAGTCTGAGGCTTTCACAAGCTTCTAAAACAAGTATTTCTGCATTGCGTTTTCATTTCTGCTTAACCATGTGGTATCAGTTTCACTTCTTCAGTGATGTAGCAGTCTTCCATTAAGTAGAGAAAAACATTTAACAGCTGCTTGAAACAACGCTGCTATTTTTCTTTTGATGCTTTATGAGCTTATGAAAACTGTAACGTTTACTGTAGCACCACAAGAAAAGGCAGCTCTGTATTACCTAGGTACACCTTCCCATCATGCTCAAAGACATCACTGACAGCCCAAGTGACGCTGCCGTCAGGGTCATGGAAGCTCGCCACAATGTCTCCTTTGTCGTTAATTTCTAAGAACAAGCCATGTTTGTGAAGAAAAACGCTGTAGAATGATAAAGGAGTCACCTGTTTTAGAAAAAGAAATACACAGTGTTAACAGTTCAGTCAGGAGGCAGGGAACCTGTATGACGAGGCAGAAATGGCAATGCTAATATATTGCTTTCCAGATGTTGCTCAGGTCAGATTCAGCTGTTACTTAATCTTTTGATAATATCCACTGGACTGTGTCTAAAGCTGGCAGGCCAGTAATCGCTCACTAATCTTAAAGTACAGTCAGTGCCTGCTTGCTCAAGAAGGTGTGGATCCTCTTTGAACTTATTCCAGCTGCCACAAGCCGCCCATTTTCTAAAAACAGGAATAAGAGGGACTTGATGGAACACAACTGAATCACCCACTTTCTTCCTGTGCAAATTCTGGAGAAAAGGGAGCATGGTTCCTAGAAAAAGTAGCATGGTTACTCATAACCAGCTCCATGACTCTTGCTTGGCAAAAATGAGTTTGCAGGGTTTGATTCCTCTAGCAAAATCCTCGTATGTTGTGTAAAGGGTTCACCTGCCATGACAAAGTCATGGTGCTATAAATCAATGGGCTGAGAGCTTGCAACTCTGAATTACTTTTGTCAATACTGATTTTTCTGCTTTATAAATGGGTTCTCAGTATTGCAACAGTAAAACTGCTGTGTTTTAATATGTAAGAAAGAAACCAATCCCTAAATGTTCCAGAAAAATCAAAGTTAGTATGTGCTGGGATGCTCGTGGGTAAAGATGAAGCAGTTGTCTTTTCCATTTCCTAGTAAAGAACAACAAGTACTGTCATACTTGAAAAGTTAACATTTCCGTGACACCAATTGTTAATACTACACAGTGTCAAAGTTACCTTTGCAATAAATCTCTTCAGGAACGGATACGGTCCTAAAGCATCCAGAAAAGGAGAAAAGAAACCAGGAAGGCGAGTAGTGGATATTCCAACTCTGTATAAGCCCGTGTTTGATAACCTGATGTTGTCTGGATACCCAGGCAGGTTGTCCACAAAAACTTCTTTTTTTCCTGCATTAGGTCCACTCAGCCAATAGCTGCAAAAAGGGAATTTTATATATGAGTTGTAGTGGCTGCTGCAAAATACAGCAAGCTTAACAGCAGAGAAGGTCCATCATTTTGATTCATGCAAGGAATTTTTCAAAATAGTGAAAAGGACTCTGCAGGAAGTGGTAAATGCAAAGAGGGACTAAGACTGAGTAACAATGATTGGTCAAAAAAGCTCGTCTTTCTACATGTAACGTAAACAGTACCCCCCACCCC